TGGGGTCCCTCAGCCTGACCTGCGCCCTCTTGCAAACTGGGACCCCTCGGGGGATGTAGTAGTGCGGAGCGGCAGGCGGCCAGGGAGGAGCCCGGGCCAGGCACTGCGCCACTCCTGCTCAACCTGGTCTACTGCACCTGCTGTCACTACCGCCGCTCGGTAGCACTGCTGCGGAGGCGGGAGAGGCTCATGCCACTGCAGCTACGCTTGCCAGGCGTGAGCCCAGCGGCATCTGGCACCTGATGGTCAGCTGAGCGGTGCTCCTGCTGTGGGAGTACACTGACCACGAGGGGGCAGCTCCTGGGTTCAGTGTCTGCCCCCTGGTGGTCAGGGCGCATCATGGTGACCGGTCAACCGGTCGTTCAGTCGTTTGGTTGTTCGGTTGCTCGGTCATTTGGTCGATTAGGCTTTTATATATAGAGATGTACTTCTGTAATGTGGCTTCTATGCATACCAGAAATAGTCTCAAATACCTGAGACCTATAAAATTTCTTACAGGCATAAAAATGAGATTTTCCTTTTCCTTTTGCTCAATCTTTGAAAATAACACAAATGCGTAGTTTTGGCTGCTCATTTAACTAGGGAAGACGCTAGGAAGGATGGAAGTTATGGCTGTGGGACTGCTAACACCAGGCAGGGTGCACCTCCGCCAGGAGCATGAGGAGCCAGAAGCTTACACAGCGGGAAGAGGTGGCCTCTGAGCCAGTCCTTGAAAATATGTGGCATTTCTCTGGGCACACGGAGGGCAGGAAGGCACACCCACGGAGGGTCTGGAGTGCGCACAAGCCGGGAAGACTCCGCCACCCACATCTGGGCTTTGTTGCAGTTCAGGCAGAAGACTTGATGATGGTATGCAGAGCTCTCTGGATGGAAGGCTAAAAGGTTGCAAAAACAATTTGGAAAGAGCCCTAGTTCTTCCTGTTAACTCACACAGGATGAACTGGAAAGAGGAGAGCATAAAGGCAAAGAGACGAATTAAGAGGCAATTATAGATCCGAAACTAAGGTTAGAAGACCTAGACCAAAACTCAGAAGCCATAAAGGAAATTCTTAACAAACCTGCCCTATATAAATTGAGATGCTTCCGAACAACAAACCAACCCCCAAGTCAGAAGAAAAGATTTAAACTACACTTGACAAAGGACATACTTTCCTTAATATACAAAGAGCCCATAAAAGAGAAATGACCTAATAGAAAAATGGGAAGTTTATAGGGAAAAAATGAGAAATGACATATAAAGTTGCATATGAAAAGATGCTTTACCTCATATCATAAAAGACAGATTGATATAATGTATCATTTCTGACCAATCAGATTAGCCAAAATTAAAATGTAGCCCTGGCTGGTTTGGCTCAGTGGATGGAGCGTTGGCCTGCAGACTGAGGTGTCCCAGGTTCGGTTCCGGTCAAGAGCACATGCCGGGGTTGCGGGCTTGATCCCCAGTGAAGGCCGTGCAGGAGGCAGCCAATCAATGATTCTCTCTCATCATTGATGTTTCTATCTCTCTCTCCCTCTCCCTCTAAAATCAATAAAATAGGGGGAATCGAAGATGGCGGCATAGGTAAACACCGGAGTTTGCTGCCTCGAACAACCACTTCAAAAATACAACTAAAAGTCGGAGCGGACATCAACCAGAACCACGGGAAGGCTGGCTGAGGAGAGTCTCTTCAACTAGAAGCAAAAACAACAGCATTCCGACGCTCAGCGGAGGCGCAGTGTGGAAAATTTAAAGGTACGGCGGTGCGGTGGTGAGGGTGCGCGTGCAAAGCGGGCTGGCGGCTGAGGGCGCGATTGTCGTTTTCAATCAGGAGCGAGTCTCAGACTCTGGGCTACAGATCCGGGCGAGTCTCTAGGGACCCAGACTCAAACGGGAGAAGCGGGACTGTCTGGCTACGGCCCCTCCGAGGTTTGCAGCGGTTACGGGGACAGAGAGGCAGAGCCCCTGGGGACGGACTGAGAGCAGTCATAGCGGCTCCCTCCCCCCGCCCTGTTGAGCCCACCCCGCCCAAGCCCTGCGCACGGCCATTTGCCGACCGCCTCAGGCAAAGGCTGGAATAGCGCCTCCCCAGAAGACAGACATTTTCCACAGCTGATTCCTACAGCCAGTCGGCCTGGTGGTCA